ATTAAAAAAGAAAAAAAAAAATACAAAAACCTAAATAAGTAGTGCGCGTATGTGGAATTCGTCGATGTTGCCGCCACCACATCATTTTGGACAAACTTCTTGGCACTGTATCTCGGTAAGTACTGATCAGAATTTTATTTTTTTGTCTTATTACTTTCACAAAAATATGCTCTTTAATTTTGTAGGAAAAAATAAATTTTTTTTTTTTTTCAAAATTTCTTGGACACTGCAGCACCACTTCAGATTTTGGCCTTGGACCCTGAAGGGGTTAAGGGTTAAACAATCACACCAACCAATCTAATATTACAGCCCCACCTAATTTTTAACATCTGTTTAACCCTTTGACTGTCGCAGGCCCCTTTCTGAAACTGTCATTCTATGTAGCAAAATATTCGAAAAAAAAAATTATTTTTTTTCTTATGAAAACTTTAGGATTATTTTTCTGAGTGTTTTAAGCCTAAAAAAATTTTTTGGCCATCAGTACTTACCGAGACATAGAGCCGCAAAGTTTGCAGAAAGTGAGGTGCGTACGGCAACAGTGGCGACTGCCACCCACCCGGTATTCTTTTATTTACTCTAATTCAAAAGTTTCTTGTATTTTCCAATATTTTTCTTTTCCATGTAACTTATGTGGCCTGTGAGACCAATGTAAGGTGCATTGTTCAAATATACACTCATTGCTTACAACACAATAACAGAACAAACTTTATCACTATTAGTTTGTGTATACATTTTGTTTACACAAACAAACAATACAAAACAATGTTTATTACTATTGTTCCATAATATATATACTTATGTACAGTCACTGAACACGTTCCTAGAACTGCTGCAGCTTGTGGAACTCTTTGAAACATGGGTATATGCAGAGTGGCACTTGACACTCCTCACACACAAAACGAGTGTCTCTGCGTGTTTGTGGGTGTTTTGTGGTATGTTTTACATACATAACACCTCTTTGAGCATTTTTCTTGGCAATAGTAGGAGGCAGTTGTATGGGGTAGTGATCACCAGGCCTGAAACGAGATGGCATGTGTTGGTAATTTTCGTGGGCATGGTCTTTTGCAGGTGTTGCTCCTTGGTACTTTGCAATTATTTGTCTGATTACTGACAAACAAAAATCACCATTTTTTTTGGGTGTTTTGTTGGTCTTCAATTGTATATGTTATAAGCATTTAGCATGGAGATATCAACAAGATGGAAAAAAAGTTTCATATAACCACTTATAACTCTTGCATACACAATCACCCAAACCCAATCTGCATGTCACTTTTGGGTCCACTAAGCGCATTTTTGGGTTGTAGTCCAGGGACAGCTGCAGGCTTTAGAATGGGTTTCATTGGTCTCTCTGTTATGCCTGCCACTGTGTGCCATTTCGTTGGGGTTAAAACTGAGTAAAACAATGTGACATCACGTTTGTCATGCCACCGAAATGCCATGATGTCCATTAGCAGCAAAGGCTTGCACCTCACCTCTGCGAGTGCCAGCGTTGAACCTTGGTATATGTTTACGATTACCACGCACTGTGCCACACACGTCAAGTTCACTCGCAAGAAATCATGAGTACAGGGCTTGTGTACCATTTTATCAGTAAATAACATATGCCCCTTACCAAGATATGGTTCCATCATTGTTCAAAACCACATCACCAGAGATACCCAAAAACTTCATGGTATCTCTCAAAGTATTATGCCAGTGTACACAATGATATCCAAACTAGCACTTCTGCAATTATACAGACAAAAACTTTAAAAACCC